CCCCGGGCTTCCTGGAATCAGCTGCTGATCAGTTTCAGCAGCAGCTGACTTGGGGACGCCTGGGGTTCTTAAGTTGATTCTGTATGTAAGTCAGAACTGGCGGTCAGTTTCAGCAGCCGCTGAATCTGGATGCCAGTTCCGACTTACATACAGATTCAACTTAAGAACAAACCTACAGTCCCTATCTTGTACGTAACCCGGGGACTGCCTGTAATAGAAAACTGACTGCCGACATTGAATTTTTACATATTTTAAAGACCTTAGGAAAAAATAAAGCATATAGAGAAATCATGCAAGTTTGTGACCCTCTCTAGGATTCTATGAACCAATGGGTGGATTCGAAACATCGATGCAGGTAGAAACATGATGGGTGAGGTAATATCTTTTATCAGACCAATTTCTGTTGGTAGACAAGACAAGCTTTCAGGCTTCACAAAGCTCTTCTTCACATTTAGAAAAAGTAACCAGAGTGTCAAAGCTAAATACAACATGAGAAGTTATTCAGCTGTGACACTTTGGTAATCTTTTCCAGGCGAAAAAGAGCTCTGAGAAGCTCAAAAGCTTGTAACTTCCTCCAACAGAAATTGGGCTAATAAAAGATTACCTCATCCATCCTGTCTCTTTCATATCCTAGGACCATCATAGCTACAACAACACTGCAAACATCCATGTAGGTAATATTTTAAATAGTCAGGCTGTGCCTACACTAGCAAGGTTTTTCCGGAAAAACTTGCCAGCTGTCTACACTGGCCGCTTGAATTTCCGGAAAAGCACTGACGATCTAATGTAAAATCATCAGTGCTTTTCCAGAAAAACTATGCTGCTCCCGTTTGGGCAAAAGTCTTTTTCCAAAAGACTTTTGCCCGAAAGGGCCAGTGTAGACAGCACGGTAGTGTTTTCCGCAAAAAAGCCCCGATCGCGAAAATGGCGATCAGGGCTTTTTTGCGGAAAACCGCTCTAGATTGGCCACAGACGCTCTAGATTGGCCACGGAAAAGCATCCTGCCAATCTAGACGCGCTTTTCCGAAAATGCTTTTAACGGAAAACTTTTCCGTTAAAAGCATTTTCGGAAATTCATGCCAGTGTAGACGTAGCCTTAAAGTATATAGTGGGTGATACCTATTAGAGTGTCTGAAGAAGTGGGCTGTGCCCATGAAAGCTCATGATACCATATATATGTTTTGTTAGTCTATAAAGTGCTACCAGACCATTTGTTGTTTTTAAAGTTTATCCTGTATTGACTAATTTGGCTACCCCCTGAAGCTAATTTACATAAGTAAGTAATCCCATTAATTATGCAGATTCATCATTAATTCTCCTTCATGGAGAGAAAAGGGACCCACCATGAGTAGGATGGCAGCCCTAAATCTTGAGAAAAGAAGGATATTCCCCATCCAGCCCCAACAGAGATCCCAAGCAAATAGTCTAGCTACTTGGCATTTGTGCTGCATTTCAGGTTTTGTCTGTCCTTAACTATCTGCTTTCACTGGGCTTCAATTATCCAGAGAATCATTTCAGCTTTATACATTCAGCAATGCTTTCATCTATATGATAGCTCTATTAATGTTAGAGCCGGCTTTCCACACTTGAGAAAAACCAAAATAAGTGAATCATAGTAACTCAGATGCAGGATGTCTGCTAGATTTCACCAGTATTTTGGGAGGTTCTCCTAAAGTGATTTGTGGATAGTAAAATAAACAATAGATGATTGGCTATCACATTTCTTCAGCCAACTCATGCTTTTCTCAGTGACAGATACATTCCCAATCATTCTTTATGACTGACCTTATCTAGGTTTCCAGGAAGATGATCCAATCTCCTGCAGTATCTGCAAATCAAAAGTAAATCTTTATCTCTGAAACAAAAACAGATTGCATATCAGGTTTTTCAATTACTTCCCATGGAACATGTAAGTGTGTACATCTGCATCAATGTTGTGAATGCAACATTTTAAATAAAACAATTTAAGATTAAAATATATTAACACGTGATGTCTGCTTTGAGGTTAAATATCAGGAAAAAGAAAAAAACTTTGTAAAAACATATGTGTGGGGGTTTGTTCTTTTAGGATCCATGCACGAGCTTTGCCTGTCCATCTTCCAACATGGAAATAGTGGATGGGAGTGGAATTGCTCTCTGCCGGAGCACCAGTCCCCAGCCCCCCTTTTGCCAGAGTGGAGAAGGCTATTTGCATGTTCAAGCATTGACATTCCCCACCCCTAAGTCCATCCCCCCAGCAGCAAAGATAAGTGTGCCCAGCCCATCCAAAAGTTTGGGCAGTCTGTAAGCTTTGCTTACTTTTGCACAGATCTCCCTCAGTGCCTCTGGCCCACCATAGAACACCCTAAGGCAGTGTTTCCCAATTGGTGCTCCGGGGAACCCTGGGATTCCGCGAAGCAAAACTAGGGGTTCCGTGAGGATCCAGCACTCCTTCGCCCCCTCTGAAGGAGAGAGAGAGCTGGCTAGCCAGGAGAGGCATGGCAGTGAGTTGTATGGGCTCGTGGTGACCATGCTACACCAATATTTGGAGCTGGAGCAGGCCCCGGCCTCCCCCACACGTCCTGGCCCCAAAGCGTCTCTCCCCCGACCCCATCCCTGTCTCATCCCTGCCGTTCACTGAGCTCCCCCTTGCTGTCTGCTGCTGCCCAGTGCGACGTGCTCAAACCGGTAGGCAGGGAGATGCCCAGGCGTGACGTGATGTCACGATTTTAAAACTGCTGGGTGCTGCATTGCTCCATGTGGCTGAGTTGCGGGTTCAGAGTCTGGGGACGGAGCGCAAACTCCAGCCCCGCAAAGTGGAAGGTAGAGGAAGGGGAAGGGCTGGGAGAGGAAGGGGCTTGTGCAGAGGGGGAGGAGAGGGGAAGGCACCAAAAGGACAGGGTAGAGGAGAGACAAATGCCAGGGGGCCAAGTACAGACAATGAGGAAAAAGGCAGGAGGGGAGGTGTCAGTGGGAGGGGGGACAGAGTGATGCTGGGAGAGGAGAGAGTAAGGACATTGGGGGCTAGAGGGGGGAGGGGGAGGTGCTGGGAGAAGGCTTGAAAGAAGGGGTGGGCATGAGGAAGGTGGGGATGGAGCAAGTCATGTATGAGGGGAACAGGGGCAGAGGGTAGTGAGAGGGTGGGCATCAGGGAAAAAGAGGGCAAAGGAGATAGGGGCAGTGAGGAAAGGGGGAGGCACCAGGAAGGTGCAGGAGTAAGAGAGGTGCAAGTGCCAGGGAATTCTGGGGGCGAAGCAGAAGGGCAGACACCTGCAGGGAAGGGACCAGCCTCAGAGGAGACAGACACGGCAGGTTTGTAGAGGGAGGTATTAGGAGAGGGGATGAGGAGGGGTAGCTCACATGAGCAGAGTGGGGCTACTGGAGGAGTGGGCACAGGGAAGAGAGAAGGGTTGGTGGAGGGGGGCAGGTCTCAGGAAGGCTGGGGGCAGTGAGAAGGGAAGGAGTCAGGACAGCAGAGGAGAGTGAGGAGTTGGGAGGAAGCAGGCACCAGGGGAGGAGACAAGTCAGCAGAGAGAAAAGTTAAAGGTTTATAAAATATTTATTAATAACTTGGGTGCCACAATGGCACATCCAAACAAGCCACATGAACTCAGTAGTCGTACACAACACAAAATTCATTTGCTCATGCGAGGAAAGTCTTACATCCTCAAGCCCATGGCTTGCTCGGCATACCAACCTTCCACCTGAGCCCAACACTCCCGAGCCTGGAGCCCCCTCCCCGAGCCAACATCCCCTTCTCCTGCATCCAAATTCTCTCCCAGAGCTTGGACTTCTCATCCCTTCCCACACCCAAATCCCTCATTCCCACCCCAGAGCCTGCACCTCCTGTCTCAACCCAGTGAGAGTATATAAGGGCTGTGGGGATAGCAAGTACAGGCAGTCCCCGACTTACGCGGATCCGACTTATGTCGGATCCGCAATTACGAACGGGGCTGCCCCAGATGTGGGCTTCCCCCCTTTTTTTTTTTTTTTTTTTTTTTTTTTTTTGGCTTAACAAACCTAGGAGTTCCTTGAAATTCTGAAAAGCTGAAGAAGGTTCCCCGGCCAAATAAAATTGGGAAACACTGCCCTAAGGGAAAGGTTTCTGCAAGCATTGCTCCCTCTGAATCATGCTGCCAGGCAGCATAAGAAGCCAGTGTGGAAACTTACGCAAAACCCCTGTGCCTCCAATAAATCCCTCAAGATACAAATAGGGTTTGTTGAACCAACTGCTTCTTTTGCTGTGGGGGAAGAGGTCTGTGGCAATTACTGGTCTAAATTATTTGGACAAAACAATGAAAGGTTTTCCTTCCCTTCCTCTCCCTTTAAGCCCCATACTGTGTTTTCCTTTAAAAGAGGGTAATCTAGTCCCTCGTATTTTTGCTACAACACATTAAGTTACATGTAACTACTTGAATGCCGTTTTTTAAGAATTTTAAATATTTACATTGTGATTTTATTGTTGCATACTGAGGAAATAATTTGTGTCAGTTCTTCTAACTTTGGACTATAGGAGAAAATAAACATTCTCAGCTGTATTTTTATAACAAATCTAGGATTACTATTAACTTGATCCTGACAATCTTAACTCACTCAAATAGTCCTTGAAATCAATACGACTATTCATCTGAATAAGAGTGTGTTAAGTGTTTTGTTTAAATTTTGGTTCAGTCAATTGTGCAAGGCATAAGGATTCTACTAATTTCTACAGATACAGAATTTATACTATATAATGCTATGATGATACACACAGAGACGAAAAAGTATTTTATGCCCACACACAATTCATTTAAAATATTTCTTCGCTTTACATATTCATTGCCTACCTAAGACTTTAAGGCAACACTATGTCCTCATATTTTTCTTTTTATTTCCCAAATTTTCAATCTCCTGTAAAAATAAATAGCCAGGTGGAGGAGTAGGGAGGATTTTCCATTTAACAACTCTTAGGCTATATCTAGACTACACGCCTTTTTTGAAAGAGGCTTTTCCAAAAGATACTTTCAAAAAAGAGTGTCTAGACTACAATCAGTGCTTTCGAAAAAGCAAGCGGCTTTTTCGAACGAGAGCACCCGGGCAGACTGGATGCTCTCTTTCGAAAAAGCCCAGTTTGCATTACATAGCACCTTTTTTCAAAAGAGCACTTTCGAAAAAAGGCGTTCTTCCTCGTAAAACAAGGTTTTCTGCAGTAAAAATAACTGCCGCGTTCTTTCAATTTACTTTCGAAAGAACGCGGCGGCAGTCTAGACAGGTAAAAAATTCTTTTTAAAAAGGCCACTTTTTGAAAAAAATCCCTGTAGTCTAGACACACCCTTATTGACTAATTTAGGATTTTTTTTCCATCTAAAATTTCCCAATATTATTGATTCACTCCACTAGTGATAACAGTGTAAACTTACTGTAGGCAAGGTGCTGGCAGCCAACAGCATTTTAAGCTGTGTCATACAATGATATAAACCTTCTCCGAGCAGGACTAGACCACATGCTGCTTAAAGTACCAGCAGCTGTCTGGATCCTGTCTGCACTAGTAGATAGGATGGGAACTTGTTGAACTCTGCAAATTAAAGGCACAAATAATGAAATCTGTTATTTTGCACATACAATTATCTTACAGGATTTAGGACTGCCTAGTGAAAGATGACAAGATGTGATGTAACTCCACTGATTTCAAAGCTATTGCATTAAAAATTATACCAGTGTATATTAGTGTAGAATTTCACCAGTGGTGTTATAACTGCAAATACAAAATTGTGATTTGATTCTGACATTACTGCATTGTGTCTCGCTGGACCATATGCTGCTTTCATTTACACTGGTACAAATCAGAACCAGTTCCCAAGACTTTATTTTACAACTGTTGTGAAACAAAACAAAAAATGAAAGATGAATAATAAATTAACACCTCAATTAAAAGTTATGGGTAAGTGAGAAAAGTTATATGGTCAGGTAAGGTTTGAAAACAGATGGCTGGGTGGAGTACAGGAAGGTTGATCTGGGGAAGGGTGAGAAACCTCTGGCCCACAGGCTGAACCTGGTTCATCAGAGTTAGCCACTGGCGGGTTGAGATATGGTTTGTTTACCTGAGCATCCGCAGGCACTCAATGGCTGCAGTTTGCCATTCTTAACCGATAAAAGCTGCAAGAAGCAGTGGCCTACTAGATTAGCAGAAGAAGCTGGGTTGGAGAGCAGTCTGAAGCCAGACTACATAGAGACTAATACCTCAGTTTACATAGTGTTTTACTAACACATCATAATTTATGGGAAGGAGATGAGCCACTTACATAAATTACAGTGTTTACACACACAAGCTGTGTAGATGACAACAGAATCAGCTTCAGTGTGATTTAACTAAGACTGTAGAGAAATAAGTACAGATGTTGTGACTTGTGGAAGAAAACATTGCATAAATCTGTTTGCCTCCTAAATTCTATTAATGAGCTCTGTGATGCCAATCCTTATTTGAGAATAGTCCTAAAGAGCCTACAATGGTAAAGAGCCAATCAGATTAGCTGACTGAAATTTACAATAAATCATAAAAAATTGGTTTTAATAAGAACGTCATACAAAACACCTGTCCTCTCTCAAAGCACTTTAAAAACGATGGCACTAGTCCTGCCCGCCTCTCTCAGACAAACCTCCCATCACTTTAGTCTCTGAGGGTATGTCTACACTACCCCGCTAGTTCGAACTAGCGGGGGTAATGTAGTCATCCGCACTTGCAAATGAAGCCCGGGATTTGAATTTCCCGGGCTTCATTTGCATGAAGCCGGCCGGCGCCATTTTTAAATGCCTGCTAGTTCGGACTCCGTGCCACGCGGCTATACGCGGCACGGACTAGCTAGTTCGGATTAGGAAACCTAATCCGAACTAGCTAGTCTGTGCCACGTGTAGCCGTGCGGCACGGAGTCCGAACTAGCTGGCATTTAAAAATGGCGCCGGCCGGCTTCATACAAATGAAGCCCGGGAAATTCAAATCCCGGGCTTCATTTGCAAGTGCGGATGACTACATTACCCCGCTAGTTCGAACTAGCGGGGTAGTGTAGACATACCCTTATTATTCTTACAAATAGATAAGTGAAAGGGGGAGAAGAGTTGGATGTGGGGCACGTGGCAGTTGGCAGCTATTATAGCACATAATACTACACTGCAATTTAGAACCAAAAGTAAAGAAGAGAGATGTCAACAGAAACTCAAACTGGAATTGAGGGTACCTTTTCATTAGTCAATGGTACACTGTTTTTAGTAATAAAGAATCTTACAAAATAAAATTGTAATTGAGCTGACAATATGCGCAGTTCATTCCAAGACACTAAGAAAGATACATTCAAAGTCCCAAAAGGTGTTGCGTGATTATATTTTGTTCCATAATCTGGTAGACTAGTTGTTACTGTATTTAATCATTATAAAATATGAATATTTAAGAAAGATTGTTAATGTTTATGTTAGGACCAAGATGCAAAAGCACTACCTGCTTGGTTTCACCCTCTAGGAGCCTAAAAGAATTGAATTAAGTCGGGTTTTTTGTTTAGTTTTGTTTTTAATGTGGCCAGACCACTTATAACCCCCCTAAATCCATATGAAATCAACCATTTGACCGGCCCATTCAGCGGGCAGATTTGGCCACAGTGACCCTTATGTGCCTTTGCTAGCAGGAAACTCTCTGTTGATGCTCTCCAGGCATCTGGGGGAGTCAGAGCCTGGCAAAGGGACAGGAGAAAAGGTTGTTGCTCTGTCGGCGGGAGCGGGTGGAGTTTGGCAATGATTGATGGGAGCGATGTGACTGAATGAAAGAAAAGCTCCGATTTGCCTAATATTTACTGGATTTAGGCACACACCGAGAGCAAGGGGCGTCTGCTTTGTTGCTGACATCCACTTAAATCAGTTTCGCAAGAGCCAGTCCCTCCTGCTGCTGCAGAGCCAAGCTGCTGCTAACCAAGCAGCGTGCTGAATCGCGGGCAGGCTCTGGGAAGCAGGAACCAGCTCTTGGCAGCTGGCTTGTGCTGGGAGGATTGGAAAGGTAAATAGATTTTTAGAGCACTGAACGCGCGTTTTCTTCCCGGCGGGAGGGAATTGAAACTTGGGGGCTTTTCTTTGAACGGATAAAAGTCTTTGGAGGCGCGGCGAGGAACCCGTCTCTAGGGACAGAGGTAAGGGCTGCAAGCCTGGGGAGCTAAGGAGGTGGGACTCTCCTCTTCCAAGCGTTTCTCGGGTTTTCTTCTCCACAGCTGCAGTTGCGGTTCCCACTAAGGTCGGTGCTTCAAAAGCAAACCGATAGTTCATGGCGGGGATTTTGTGGCTCCTAAAGAGACGGCTTGAATCCCTCGGCCCTCGGTTGTGGTGCTGAGGGGGGGGGGGGGGGATCAAGGCTGCCCATCGCTCCCGCTCTAAAAGAGGCAGTGCGGAGAGAGGGGGGATGGATTTTTTCCGCGGGGCTTGGTGCCTTTTGTAAGGGGGAGCTGGCGCCTGTCCTTTTAAAGGTCCCCTCCTCACTTAACAAGGGGGGGGTCCCTTTCTGAACTTTGCCCAGTGCGGGGAGAAGGGCCCCCTGATCCCGCGAGGGTCCTAGGCCGGGGCAGCTGGAAGGTTTACCCGGCACCCAACCAGCCCCGAGAGCTGAGGCGGGCCAGGCGCTGGCGTCTCCTAGCCGCGCAGACATCCCC